ATCAGATTTTCAATGCTACTGACAAACCATATTTCTTTTGCAAAATGAGGCAAACTGCAAAGTCACCAGCTCTTGTCATTGTGGAAGGAAGACTCAGTCCAATTTCCATTCAGGTGGAACGTGGAACATAACTGCTCCCTCAGTTGTAGCTGCACTGCACTGCAGTGGGTGGCGTTTTTAAGCTTTCCTTCTGTGACATGCTTAGATTTCATTATGCCAAATCAGCTTTTATCTTCTGATTCTCTTAAAAGAATTGCAGTACAGTAGTAATATCGGCTAATACTCCAACAGCACAAGGAGAGCAAAACACTGCTGGAGGTTTTCTCACACTAAAAGATTCTGAGTTTAAACAGTGGGAATTTTATGTGATGCAGAGGAGTAAGTGAAGGTCCAAATGATGGCGATAGACACTCACAGGAAACAGTACTGGTTCCCTTGCAGTGTTTTACCAGATTATACTACTGAGCACATTTGCTTCCTGAAAGACTGGTATCTGTGACTTAGATCTAGATTTCTCTTTCATGAAGTGGAAAGGTGAAGGTGTTTCCATGAACTGAGCGCAACAGCACTACCTACTTCAATTTCATAGACTATTGCAGCCTTCTTTCAAACATTTTGCACTGTGCAAAAAAATTATAGTACAAGTGTTTGAATTTGTCACAGAAATCAAGGTAGGACAACTATATTAGAAGTTCCCATGCTGAGTATTTCATACTTTATAAGAAGCCAGACTTAAAGCAGTGAAAAAATTCCTCATAGCTGACCGAAAAGCCCATTTACCAATGCATTTATGCAGAGAGCAAATACACCTTGCGTAGCTTACCTGTAACTCAGGGAAAATATTCAGAAAAATAGCAGGAAAAATATGATCAAGGAAAAGGCTCAGACGTGAGCTTCAGATGCTTTCATGTTTCTGTCTGGTTTTGATGCACATTTGTTACACTAAACCAGGTAAATATTAGCCCTACACTTGTTACTGTCAGCTGGCACTCGGTGGCTGCTCATCAGTGTTCCTATCTCTTCTAACAGCTGGCTAACACAACATTTGTTCCTGGAAACGTGAGAGATCAGATGGTTTGAGTTAGGCACCAAAGCTGCTTTTTAATTCCAGATCACAAGTTTAATTAAAGTCAAATGCGGTATTAAAAACAAAAAAAAGATGGAGACTCTCTGGAATGCTCAGTGGAGTTGTTTGTGGTTCCAGAACATGATTTATGTTCCACAGACACTTGACCAGCTGCTTGCAGTGCTCTTCCAGCATGCTACTGGCTCTGGGATTTCACAGCAACATCAGGGAACTTCCTTTCCAAAACCTTCCGCCTCGTCCTCTCCAGGCTTTGCTGCCTTGCCCTTTTCCGTAAGGCTTTTTCAAGTCTGAGTCTGAAACAGAGAAGTTGGTGTGGTTCATTTCCAGCCAGCTTGTGACCACTTTAATGAGCTCCCCCCAAAACAGATAGAGGCACTCAGTGATTAACAATTTCAGTATTCGTTTGCTTCTGATAATTAAAAAAGCCTGCAGGGTAACATTTTTCCTTTGCTTCTGAATTTTTGATATTCTGCATTTGAAGTTACTTTTACAGTGCCACTGCATAACCATGTACCTTAGTAACTAACGTGGGAGCAGAAAAAAAGAAACAGAGCAAGCTGTAATTTTAAAAAGCCTAATTATTAGTCTAGTAGCTGAAAACCAAAACATTAGAGCTATTTTTTCCTTTTAAAGTGGAATAAGAATACATACAGATCAGAAGACAACTTTCAATGTCAAAATAATCTTCTTACCTGATGAAGTGATTCACATGAGGTAAGTAATAAAATCTCTTCTTTTTGTGTTTTTTGTTTAAGTGCCATGGTATTGGCCATTCCTTGTAACTGTACCTGTTGGAGACAGATAAAAATGATTACAGAATGTACACGTTGTCTTAATTCTAGGATTTTACCAGTTTCTCTTGTTTTCAAGTACAGTGATAAAGTGGTCTGGGAGACGGCAGAATTTGGGTATTTATTATTATTTTATATGTGGGTATTTATTTCCAGCTCCTGCTGGCTTGGTCTGTAACTGTCTGCTGTGTTCTGTACAGTCTGTGCATCCCTCCTTGATTAGACAAGGATTTTCTGGGAGAGAGACACACCCCAAGAAAAACTCACACGTTAAAAAAGGTTTTCCATACCAGAAGGTGCGTCCCAGGAAGTCGTTTCTCCACTCGCCAGGGACTGGCTTTTCATGGCCCGTTTGTAAAAGCCTCAAAGCAATTTCTCTTTCTCTGACAACCAAGTCTATATTTTTCATAGATGTTTCTACCTGGAAATGGTAAAAAGTTTCAGGATGCACCAACAAAAAGCAATGCTGAAAATTCAAAAGATCTCAAAGATTTAAAATTTAAAGGGAAAACAAAGGTAAAATATGCTGGAGTTTGATCATGAGTTCTCTCTCAGCAGGCTCTGTGTACTAGAACAATAAGGAATGGGTGCTTCAAAAACCTGATCTGACAGCAGGACAGATATGAAATAGCTGACAGTCTGATACCTGATTAAAGACCAGCTGGGTAATGTATAAAGCCACATCCAATGCTGATGCAGAAGTACAGGAAGCTCTGAGGCAGGGGTTAGAGGGAAGCAGAAGAAGCAAATATTTTTTGTAGTAGCTGTTTGTTATTTTAGTTTTCACTGGAGTCTGGTCACAGCCCCAGTAATGCCCACTGGACAAAGAGAAAGCTGCCTTGACCAAATTATGACTTCAGCAGTTAGTGCATACACTAAAATTAGGGACATAATTAAAAAAAAAAAAAAAAAAAAAAAAAAAAAAAAGGTCTTTAACAAATTTACAAACACATGATCTTTCAGCAATTTTAAGAGTTGTAGTTTTTATGTAGCATGAAAAAGTTACCTTTTCTAAGCGTTCTGGACTTGGCATAGGCTTGCGCTGCCGTTTGGATTCTTGCTCTAAAGTTAAGAGCATGTTCTTTTCTTTCAGCAGGACATACCTAGAGCAGAAAGCACAGTAAATCAAAAATGCCTTTGGGATACCTAAGCAGTTATTCACTTACTATCTGTAATCCCAAATCCTGCTGGCTTCATATAACGAAACAAAAGAGGAGAATGAGGGAGACAGGTTTACTTAGTCTGGAATAAAGAGGGCTTAGGAGGGAAGAGTTTAACACTAAGTTGTCTTCCACTACCCGGACAGAGCCAGATTCTTCTTACATGTACACATGAAAAGGACAAGAGAAAGCAAGGAAAAAGCTGCTCACAGTAACGATTAAGTTCAGCCTGAAGTGGCAATGCAACCTCCAGCTTCAGACACTTCCAAAATCAGAATAAATGTAGGCCTGAGCACCCTGATGGAATGAAGTGCCCTCCCCACAAGAAGGCACTGACAACCAAGTCTGTCCCACTCAAACAACCCCCAGAGGGTTTGTACCAAACCTGAGCCCTCTGAACTAGCCACAAGAGTCCCACAGCCACCTGCAGTGCAGATTCTGTGCTCTGAGCAGGACCAGGGCTGCTCCAAGCCCAAAGCTGGCTGGAGCCTGCAGAGCTCTGTGCCAGATTAAAGTTACTGCATCATACATTCACCAGCCACACTTTATTGACAACTGCAGAGCTGCTCTGAAAGAAGAGAAGCTTCTTCACTAAAACTTACTTACCAAAGTTTGTGCAAGTCTTCACTACTCTTGCCCCTTAGCTGCTTTATATTCCATGAATCCCCTGTAAAAGATAAAAAAAAACACCATTAATTTAATGAAACAAAGTTCTCTTATTCTGAAAAATAAAAACTGCTTTTATTAGGTTCAGCTGACACAACTGTATAAAGACCACTTTTAAAATACTACTGCTTGGACAGCCATCTTTGAGGATATTCAGCTTTGCTTTCGAAATACAATATAAAAAGGCAATTGTATTTAGTGTTTATTTGTGCTTGTAAAAGGCTGGGAATACAGAAAGCTGCCAGAGGAATCTTTACACTGAACTAATTTAGTTCCATAGTACTTATATTTCATCAAAGCACATCTCTTCTGTGCTACTTCAGAGCAAGGCAGAGGATTTACAGCAAAACGCTTTGCTGCACAATTGCTATTTGCTTTTATAAACACAGCAAAAATTAACAGGCATAAAGATGCACACGTGGATGTATGTACATATACATAGAAAAATAAGTTTTATGTATATAGGGGAGCATTCATAAATGCTCCCTATAATAAAAAAAAAAAAAAAACAAACAAACAAAAAAAAAAACAGAAGGTCATATTTCAGGTCAAAGATCACTACCAAAAATGCTAAATGTAACTCACCAGACTTTACACTTTTCTCCCCCCAGTTTCCTGGATCATCAAAAAACTCCTCCAGACCTCTCCGAGACACAGTTGTGTGCAGGAACTTCACCTGATGGAGGGTCTCAACTTTTGGTAGGTTCTTGTGGTACAGGTTCAGTGCCATCCTGCATAAAAGTTAGAAGGAAAACCATGTACGATAGGAAAAACAGTGTTCTGCTAAATGAGAATATTTGTTTCATTCATCATGCTGCCCTTGCACGATGCCCCCAGGGACGCGCGGACACCGGGACACACGGACACCCGCCTTCCTCCCGGGAACGGCGCCCGCCCCTGCGTGCCTCAGCCCGATCCCCCCGGCGCAGTGCGTACCCGGGGAGTCCCGGCCGAGCCCGGGGCAGGCGGAGCGCGGCCGAGAGGCTCCGGCCCAGCGCGGCCACGGCCGCGGCCGCCGCCATCGCCCCGCGTCCTCCCACAGCGCCGGGGGCACGGGGCGGGAGCTGCCCTCTTCCAAGATGGCGCCCACTCGCCCTCACCCCGCGATCTCCCACTGTACATGGAACGCAGGGAAGGCTCTGCCCTTTTCAAAGATGGCGCCTGCGCGGCTTCACCTCTATGGCATCGCACTGCGCCGGGGGCACGGGGAAGGCTTTGCCCTTTCTCATGATGGCAGCCGGCGGCTTCACCCCGTGGCGGGAAGCGGCGCCACCAGCCCCGCCCCGTGCCAGTCCCAGCCATGGCGGCCATGAGCCGGGTGCTGCGGGCGGCCGCGGCCTGGGCGGCGCGGCGGGCGGGCAGCGCCGGGACCACCGGGATTACCGGGACCACCGGGATCACTGGGATCACCGGGATCACCGGGATTGCCCCCCGCCTCCCCGGCATCCTCGGTACGGCCCGGAGAGGGAGCGGCGGGGCGGGGGCGGCGGGTGACCTTGCGGAGCGGGACAGAGGTGCTCCGCGGCCGGGGCTGAGCCGGTGCCGTGCTGGGACCCCGTTCCTGTGGAAAACTACCGGGTGTGGGTACAAAACGAAAGGGAACGGGCAGGGGGCTGCCCCTCCTGGCGCTGGAATTGTCCATTTACTCGGCTCTCTGTGGTGACATTCACTGACTCCGTGTTGCTGCTTACAGGTGGGCATAGATCTCTGTCTATAGTTAGGAGAAAAATAGTTTCATGCTAACAAAACACGAAATTACTTCAGACGAACTGAAGTAATAAGATAAGTGAAGTGAAATCACTTCACTTATATACATCACTAACAACAGAGGTGAGATTTAGGAAGCCCAACCTGAGTTTGACCCCTCCGAAATCAGGTTTTGGATAAATCCTATTATAAGCAGCAACAGCTAATTTGGTACAACTCCCTTTACGCGAACTGCAGAAAACTCAGCTGCTGTTGTACACTCTTCTTTTTTTTTTTTTTTTTCTTTCCCCACGTATGTTTGACCTTGTCCTGGCATAAGCACCAACAGGATACAAAACCATAATACTCTGGTTCAATTTGCAGTTCCTGTACGACACGGCGGTGACCATGGGAAGAGAATGTTTATCATCAAGGCAACAAGTTTTTATGATTCTCGATTTCTTAGCTTGTTGGTGAGTTAAAAATCAAATGTATTGCATTCAGTGTAGCACCTCACTTGCAAATGGTGTAAGAGTGCCTAAAATACAATTTCTTCTCTTGTTTATGCGATAGTATCTAAAATGTGGCTGGCGCTGTTTACCTAAACAAGAACCTCAGGTCCTCTTTAAGAATTATTTGGTCATATGCTGTAAAATCAGGGCTAGATGAAATTCAAAGACTGCCTATATAGCAAAGATTGTGATAGGTACTTAAATTACTGCTGTAGTTGCATTCTTAAATTACACGTCTGTGTTCATATATGCATGACCCACAAATGCTTTCTACTCCATCCTCCTTTTTGAAACATATCAGTTACTCTTCTGCAGGGTTTGCCTTCACTTATCTACACCACTAACAACAGAGGTGAGATTTAGGAAGCCCAACCTGAGTTTGACCCCTCCAAACTCAGGTTTTGGATAAATCCTATTATAAGTGGCTGCACTGGTGTTGGACTCTTGCTTTGCTGATTGCAGCTGAGTGCTGGAGCCTGCCCAGCCCTGCCAAGATGCTGAGGGATTTCAGGGAGGTGTTGCTCTTTGCTGCTGCCCACACTGACCTCACTGGGAGATGGGAACTGACCTGAACAGGCTCAGGGCCGACACAGCATCACTTCTGTGTGTTCTGGTTCATTAGTGAACCCATTGCAATCAGCAGTGTTCACACACAGCATCCCTTTCCAACCTAGAAATGCAAATCTCAGAGTTACTGGCTGTTCCACTATTTTCAGATATTTTCAGATCTCATGTAAGTTTTGTCAGGGCTCTGAGTTTCCCACACTGACTGTTTTTATCCCCTCTGCAGAGATTCTATTTATTCGTGACGGGGATACCAGTGGCTGTGCTCTTAACATATATCAACATCTTTGTTGGTGAGTGCTCTGTCAGGGCTAAGCAAAGTACAGAGTTATTAAATGGGAATTAAGCATGCTGGATACAGAAAAATTGCTCTTTTATGGCTCTCTCTTTGGAAGACCATGGAATAGGCCTAAAAAATACAGTGATATTGTATAACTACATAGAAAATGTTCCCAGTATATTTGCTTTAGTTGTTCCTTTTTAAAAAAAAGTTTCTCACATAAAAATAAAAATACATTCTCTCTTCTGGCAGTTTTCAAACATCAGTGTAGTTTAGTAACTTGCTTTAACAAGATTGCAACTCTGGCTTTTTATCTAGCAAAGATGCCAAAATTCTGCTTGGCAATACATGTGTTAAATCTCCTGCTGTAATGATATGTAATTAATTTAATAGAGAAGTCAGGAAAAGTCCATGCTTTCAGCCCCTGTATTTTAAAGGGTATTTCTGTGGACTTGATCCAAGTTGTATCTTCTGTATAGCTGCTAATTTTACCCTTTTGGTGTGTCACTTAAAGTCTGTGAATATATATTTGCAGTGTGATGTGTCTGCAAAAACTGAAAGTTCCATTTTTCTGAAAAGAGCTCACACTGAAGGATTTAATACTCTCTGTGTGGAACAATGATCTTTTCCTTATCTGAAAGGCAGACTATAAGGTAGCTTTGGAAAATAATCACAGAATTCAATATTCCTCTCCTCCTTTCTTTGTCAGGTGAAGCAGAACTTGCAGAGATTCCTGAAGGTTATGTTCCAGAGCACTGGGAATACTACAAAGTGAGTGTAACATGTTATGGACAGCCTTTTAGGATGATGCTTTTGGGAGTAAAATTAATGGAGTATGACGAATGGAGTATGACTAACTCAAATAGTGCAGTTCTGATTTTGGTAAGCTTTTTTCTGGCTTTATGGAACATGTAAAAAGCTGTAGGAAATCTGTTTACTGACACAAGCAGATGCAAATGCTCTGTATGCAGTAAACTGCTGGAACTGTATGCCAAGAATTTTTCTGTAATATTCCTAAATAGTAAGAAAAGTCCTCTCCATGGTTTTGTCTTTATTTTCTTTCTTCAGTGTCTTAAGAAACTGGAGTTTACAGTGACATTTCTTTCTTTTGTGTTGTTTGCCAGTATTGTTTTAGGTCCTATATCACACACACTTTTGGATCTAGAATCGAAGATTTTTATAGTCACAAACTCAAGGTTGTATGGTTCCAATTTAATTGTATTTTCTTAAAATTAGTCCCTGGCTTCTTGCTGCAAGCACTGTTTTGTTCCTGATAGGAAGTAATTGAATTCAGCAATATTATTGTGAGTGTTTAAACTAATTTAGACTTTTTTTTCCTAGTGAAATGCCCTCTATGTGGAAGCAGAATTTTGAAATGTTGCTGATTACAGTAAGATTTGGAGTCCACTTCTGTGATTACTGTGGCAGTTTAAGGAACTTTAACAAAAAGAAAATAAATTATATCTTTCGTTAAATTTTAGTTTTGCTGCAGAACAGTCATCTGCAGGTTATCTTGGCATTAAGGATTGCAAAAGAAATATGACTTTTTAGGGTTCTGATCTCAAAAGTAGTTGTGCACGTTTGTAACTTTACTGTTATGATTTGAATGGCAGCACTCATGGTGCCCATGACATCTTTTCAGGACTGTGGATATACAGAGTGACATTTCTACTTGGCACTTGCACAGACAATCTCTGCTGTTATGTTTTCCAGCACCCCATAACCCGCTGGATAGCTCGTTATGTACTTGACCCCCCTGAGAAGAACTATGAGAAGGACATGGCCCTGCTTGATGTGGAAATGAGGAAATCTGAACTGAGGTATGCTCTGTTGGGGGGGTTAAAATCCTGATCCATGCTGTAGCTGACTCTGTGATTTTGCATGACATACTGAGCTGGATAAAGTGCTTTCATGTGTCCCCTGAGTGCTGCCTGCACTGGCTGCTGCCAGAGTGGGAGTCACAGAATCTGTTATCTATCTCTGCCCTCTCAGGATTCAGGTTACCAGAACAATCCAAGGGCTGGGGGTCTTCAAAACACTTTGTACTTATAAAGGTATAGTTCTGTCTTCCTGAATCAGCAAATGGAGCTCTCTCTGCCCCTGCTAATGTTCACAGCTTAGAGAAGAACCTGTGATAAAACTGCCAGTATTTTTATTACTCCTTTGTGGAATGACTTGCTGAGGAGAAAAAAAACCAAAAGACAAAGATGCAATAGGTCATGTCTTAGTTGAACCCTTCATATTTTGGTCCTACCTATGCTTCAGCAATATTTATAAACCATTAATGCTAAAATCATTGCTTTGTCAGTAAATCAAACTTCATGCTGAGGGTGTCTGTTGCCTTGTTTTTTAGGCTGCTGGAGTTGGAGGCACGCAGACTGATGAGACACCGGGGAGACGGGCCTTGGTACCATTATGAAACACCTGATAAAAATCTTGTTGACAATTCTATGAAAGCCACACCTGACAATTAAACAATTTTAGGGCAGTGTGCAAAGTTTTATGTGCATACTGACAAATTGTGACTGCGCTGTGGAACAGACATCCTGCTGTTTGCTGATGAAAATGAATAAACAGTGTTTGTGTTGATTCCAGTATCTTGAAAGCAACTGTGGCAGTTAAGCTCATACACCTATTAAAGCAGTTAATCAGTGAAAATGCTTTATGTCAATTGCCAACAATCACTCCTTTCCTTCAGAACATACGTACATGAAACAAGTTGGTAATACTTGTTTCCATGTTGTGATTTCTAGTATTTATAGTTTTAAGTGAAAGATACAAGAAGCTAAGGGTTCTTTCTCTCTCAGTGGTTTGTGTCAGGTAATTGGTGGGAGATGAAGTAAGAAAAGTACCTTCACACGTACCTGCCATGCATTTTCAGAACTGTACAGCTGTTCTTTTACACCACTTTTGGCAACTCTTTAGGGAATATGAAGAGTTCTCTCATCAACTGGCAGGTTTTTGCCACTAGAGGGATGTGTTTCCTCAGGTCCTACAGACTATGGTACTCTGTTTTAAATTTCTCAAGAGTGATGGAAAGTACCTCTTACAGTTTGTGACTCTAAATTATCTGTCCATATTCAAAATCCTCACTTTTTAAAGTAAATAAGCCCAAACTAAACCAGTATCATCTAGTGATACTTAAACTAGTGAAACTTAAAACTCTAGATTCTTTTTTACATTAGGCAACAGTGCATGGATTATTTTAAGCAAAAACTGCCTTGTTTGCTGTTTCCTGGCACTGCCAAACATTAGAAAGACATTGATTTTCTATCAGTGCTTTGCTTGTCCTTTTTGTTAGAATCAGTCTCTCAGGTTAGATGGCTCATATGTCATATTATGGCTCTCATTGTTTATAAATGCTGAGTTATTAATAAGAGAAACCATTAAAAAAGCACAAAGTCTCCTCAGGTAAAATAAACCTTACTGACCCTGCATTAGTGTTTTTTATGATGTTTATCCAATGATGCTTGCAAGTCTGATGTAATGTCTGTTTTTCAGTAAGTCTAAAACCACTCAATGGACATGACATTCTGCACTCAGTGTTTCACATTGTTCCCAACACTTGATTTTTCAGTGGTGAAAATTACTGAGGACACTGTGCTACTCTGCTCACCCTCACAGCCTGCTCATAGCTGGGTACAAACATTTTTCAATTCTGTTTTTGAGATTTTCCTAGAACCACCTTTTGGAACTTTTAATTTTGAGGTAAAAGGTGGTTCTAGCAAAGGTCACATCACCTCCTTGGAAGTGATCAATGAGTCCTTGGATGATGGGTGGAAGGCAATTCATCTGCTCTATGCATCTTCATTTTACATGGACTGGCCATTTCTTTATTAATACAGTTGCTGCCAGGCATATGAAGTAGTTATTAGATACTATTTGAAAACAGTAGCAGTATTTTTCTTCCTACAAAGGTCACTCTTATTTCTCCTTTCTCTGACATTATTCTTTCAAAGTGAAGAGCAGAGAGAAACACAGCAAAGGCCAAAAAAGGTAATTTTAAGGCAAGGTACTGCTCCTGAAGACATGAAATTGGGAGTTGGCTCCTGGCACTGCCACAGGCTTCTCGGGCATCCCAGGCTGGACATTCACACCCTGTATCCCCCCACACTGACCTGCTCTTCTGGACAGCAGGGACATCCCACCTGTCAGCACGGCCCCGGGGGGACCTGCCAGAGCCCTGTGAGACACCTGCACTGCAACGAGGGGCTGAGAGTGAAAATACAGAGGAGAGAGTTTTTACTGCATGTATTTTATACACATGCGTATATATGTATTTATACACATATACATGTATTTTATACACATGCGTATATATGTATTTATACACATATACATAGATACATATGTGTATATACACATATACATGCATATATATGTATATGTGTATATACACACATATACATATATACATATACATACTTATATATATATATACTTACATATACCTATATAGAAATACCTATACACATATATATGTGTTTGTATATATATATATACATACACACACATATTTCTGTATATATACATATACATACATACGCACATATATGTATGTATATATACATATACATGCATACGCATATATATGTATGTATATATACATATACATGCATACGCATATATATAATATGTAGTCTTTAGAAGCTTAAAATAAAAAAAAGAGCGTATAAAAGAGTATTACCGGGCAGAGGGAAGCCTGCCCGGGCAGACCAGGGCCGAGTGCCCGCGCTGCCCCGCGGGGAGCGAAGGTTTTCGGGCGAAACGCGGGTCCCGGCGGGAACCCCGCCCCGCTGCCCTGCCCCTCGCCCGCCCCCGCCGGGACCCCCGGGTGCCGCCGCCGCAGCTGGTGCCGCCGCCGCTGCCATTGGATTAAAAATAGCATCTTCCCTCCCCCTGCCCTCCCTCGGGCCCGGCCGCCGCCGCCGCCCTGCCCCGGGCCCGGCTGCCCGCCGCCTCCATCGCAGAGCGGCTCGGCAGGGCGGCCGGCAGGGCAGGGCGGGCAGGGCGGGCAGGAGGATGCAGCGGGCCGCGCTCTTCCGCGCCGGCGATGCGCAGATGGCCGCCGGGGACCTGGGCGAGCTGCTCGTCCCCTACATGCCCACGATCCGCGTGCCCAAGTCAGGGGACCGGGTCTACAAGACGGAATGTGCCTTCTCCTACGACTCGCCCGTGAGTGCAGCGAACCGCCCCCGGCTGCCTCCGCGCCCCCGCCCGCCGCGGCCCCTTCCCCTCCCCGCCGCAGCCCCTCGCACCCTCCCCGGGCTCTGCCTCCCCCTCGGGCCTCAGGATGCCGCGACCCCTTCCTCCACCTGCCGCGCCCCTCGGCCTCCCGCTGCTGCCCAGCCCGGGGGCGCGGCTGCGGCCGCGGCGCTCCCGCACATCGCTGCCCGCTCCTTCCTGCGCTTGTTTGTTTATTTTCCTCCTTCAAGGCGCTCTGGAGTGGTTGCTTGGACACGGGGATTTTGTGGTTTCGGGGAAGCTTCCCTGCTTGCTCTGCTTTTCGGGGTCTGCTCCACCCGGAGCCCTGCTTTTGCTTTCACACCGAGGTGGTTAAAAAGGGAGAGTTATGGCCTTCTCGTTGGTATATTTTGGCGAGCATATGTCAATTATTTTGCTTTCCTGTTTGCTTTCCTTTGCCTTGGTGCTCATTCTATTCAAAAGCTTCAGAGAAAGCTTCCAAGGTAAAGGCTCATCCTGAAAATCAGAGTGAAAGTTCCCCTGAAACACTTTCTCCCTCGGGGTTTCAATTACATCACTGAACTTCAATGGACTTGTAGTATTTCCCCACCAGCTTGGTTCATTGGCTGTGAGATCAATGTTTCATGTGCAGTAAACTTTCCGTGGTGTTATTTCTATAGTATCTTACAAAACATCCACCAGCTCCACAGACTGCATGTGTTCCATGGCAGATTTGGGGCCTGACTCAGTTTTCAACTTCACTGCTGATACTGGAAGCCTTCATAAATGGGCAGTGCTTCGTAAGAAACAGGTGCTTAGAAATTAGACTTTTTCAAAAGAGGTTGAAAATTTTATTAAAAGTTGCTTCTCCACAGGAAACTGAGGTTTCCCAAAGGTGATTGAGCACTATATATTGTTGTTAATGTCAGTGGCAGCAATCAGAAGGAAGCTCATTACATTACAGAATATTCATTAAAAGATACATTTCAGACACAATTTTTGAATCCTTTATCCCCTCCTAATTGATAATTCCCCCTCTCTCTGATAATTCCTTTTAATACAGAAAATCAGACATGAATTTAAAGGTGACTCAGCTGTCTGGTGTTCGTCATGTCTTGTTGAACAGAGGTTATTTTTACCCACACTCTTCAGATCTCAAGTGTCACCCAGCAGCCCTGACTGTACTGGGAGCTGGGCTGATTAGAACTGCCAAATCGGACTCTGCCGCAGAGGCGATAATTGCATTATATACTTAAGGAGGTTTTGGCGGGGGAAAATCAATATACCACATTCTTCAGATTTCTGCTTGGGTGAACACGTGGTTGATGTTTTTAGTAACACTTTCAGGCTTCTTCGATATTATGGTTTATAAAAAGTTTCTGTTAACAAGTAAGAAGGGATATAAAATACTGCTACAGAGTAAAAAACAATCAATCACCACCTCCTGCAACAAACCTCAACTGAACACAACAAAAGCTGTGTTTAGCTAAACAATATGTTTGAACAAAACATAAAACATTTGTGCCAAACTTAACAGAAACTATGGATAAAAGTAGCAAAATGAGTGGAAAGCAGCATGTATGGTTTTTTTTTAAGCTAAAATAATTTTCATACTTTTGACATTATTGGGAAGAGATTTCAGATTTAGGAAAATGTTACCCTCCAGGGTAAAAACTTCTTGTTTAAATGTGTTATGGGCATTCACTGGGCAAAAGGTTTGACTGAACTTATGCAGTACCAGTGAAAATAAAAGCAGTCTCAGTTTCTGTTGTTTGCCACAGCTTTTCAGCCCATACCACTCCTCTGCTTAGCCGAGTGAAAGATTTGCCTCAGATTTTATTTTGAATTCCCATATAATCTAATAGATACTTGAATATCGTTTGTAGGATGGAGGTTCTAAGGGGCATATGTAATGTGTGCTTTCTAGGGTAAAACACTGTAATTTACAGATTGAAAATAGCAAAGCTGTGTTTCTGCAGTATTTCATTCAGAAGGAAAGTGAAAGGATACACACTGGTTATTTCTTGGCTGAAGAGAGATGTTTATATTTGGTAGTAGGTTGATTTTGTGACTTACTTTCTTAGGTCATCCATGTATTACCTAAGTGAGCCTCTTCCTCTTGAGCTACATGCCTCTTTTTGAAAGAAGATACACTGTTGGCCCTGTTATAATGTTCAAGAATTAAAAAAAAAAACAAACCCTCTTGGTTTTGTTAGCCATGCTAAAATTCCAGATTACTTTTTTTGCCGGAGGAGGTTTTTTTCTCATGTAAGAATAGTCCACAGTATTTCCTCATATCTTCTCATTTTGCCATTTTAAAATATGCTCCTTGCAGCAGTTTAACTTCAGCATGTCATGCATGAACACATGCCTGGTCATGCAGCAGCTCTACAGTCAAGTGTATTTAGCTG